CCCCAAAACCCCAAAACCCCAAAACCCCTAAAAATCTTCAAAAAATTGAAAATTTGTACTACGAAAATCCCAAATTATCGTTTATCTCTCTTGGCCTGGATCTGGCCTTCTTGCGACTGGCTTCAGCTAGGGTTTTGAAGTTATTCACATTTTTGGGGTTTTGAGGATTGCCAGCGATACAGTTGAGTTTTGAAAACATCTCTTTTCTTTGGGATTGCAAGGTATGCTCTAGGGGGTCAGGAAGGAAATTACTGAGCGAAATTGACATTTTGGAGGTGGAATTAGACGTTCAGGAGGGAATTGGTGAGTCTGGAGGTGAGAAAAGACCCATACCGAAGGTAGAAGTGGGTTTATGAGGGTTTAAGGAGTTCAAACTGGTGTTTAGTGAAAATTTTTGATGCGAAGACCCTCTTTCTTTGCTCCTAAGATTTGAAGAAACATGTTTACTTGGTTAATTTGAATCTAGCTTCTAATAAAAATTTCTCATTTGCATATCTCATTGCTTTCTCAACAATTTCGTAATCGTCTAGGGTTTATATAGACAAGTACCATTTGCTTCATTGAATATTATTGGATATTTTTCTATCATTTTCTTTAACAATTTATGATGAAACCCTAAAGTAGGTGAGCCTTTCACAACATTGGACACTAAGCATAATATTCTCAGAGGATTCTGCATTAGAATGTAGCAATTTTATAGTCCTTCTTCAAAGAAGTTGTACTTACCAACTGCTGATCCTTCTGAAGAAATCAGTGTCTTTAAGATCTGGTACAATCTTAACCAATAGTTGAGCTCTTGTTCATTAGATGTCTTTGGAAGTAATTTAGTGATACTTGACAATATCTTGTGCGGCTAGAAGGAATAAATCTACAGAAATGTACCTTAGAATCTTCTGTAGGTCTTGAATCAGGAGTTTCCTTTTCTTCAATCTCAGACCTTTCAGGACTTTTTTTAATTTGGAGTTTAAATGGTATTGAAATGCATCTAAAGAGTTTAAATAAAACTCTCACTTATCATTCCTCCTGCGGTTATGGAAGCTCAAAATAGGCTCTTTTCTTGCCTCATCCTTCATCCTCATAGGATTTCTCCATTTCTGATTGCAAAGTAGCATTTTTCTCTTAGAATTGCTACTAAATTTGCAGTTTTTAAAAACTAAAATTTAACTCTGCGAAATACTTTTGTTATCTTTTTCAATGACAATTCTCTGATTCAGGCTCAAAAAATGCTTAGAGCCAGGAGCATAAAGGGTATTAGGTTCATTTTTAGCCTGGAAGGTTGACATAATATGAGGTCTCTGTAATGATTTCATCCTCTGAAGATACTTCCTTTTAAAAACATCTCCTTGAGTACTTTCAGTTGAACAGAATACCTTCCCAGTCTGATGGCTATCAATTGATCGGTTCTTTTGAGCAAGTGGCTTATATTCAATATTACGAGAGTTTTTCAAACTGATCAAGGAGCTAAACTCGCCTAAACTGGTTCAAAAGAGAGAGTACTATTTTTAGATACATTTCTCTTCCTCTGAAATCTCCCAAGATTGATATATCCCTCTGGCTCTATGTTAAAACTTTCACTCAGCTTGACTTCTGAGATAGGATTTTTGGACATATTCTTCTTCTTAAATCAATTATCCTGTATAAAAGTGTTAAAACGATATGATATTCATCCTAAAGGTTTCAAATACTATCACCAAAAATGAAGATGATAAACGGAAGCGGATATCTCTAACTGCCTAAAGCCTACATATTGGATTTTAACTCCTTACATCTCCCATATAAGTGCGAACAGAGTTTTTATTCTCTCCTGCTTCGCTCTCCCTCTTGCTGAGCTCCCTAAAGGTGATCTTTGAGCTGTACCCTTTGTTAGTGTTTCTTGTGCTGAAGTAGATGTGGGCTATAGAGAGTAGAATAAGAAAATATTTCATATAATCTTTGGCCCCAAATCTGAAAGGCCACTAATATTGAGAAGGATGACCGATCAGGATAACTTACACTCATCCCAAGGGTTTAAGGCATCGTGTGGCGTTCTATATTCAACATAAGGAGCTGAACAAGCGGAAGAAGTCGAGTTAGAGGAAATACAAAGAAAATTTTAACTATAAGGTACGTACGTCATATTAGAAGTTCCAATAGAAGCTTTAATTGAGGTGTTCATTGACTTAATACGAAGCTTATTTCCGCAGTTTTGGCTTTGAGTTGTTCTATTGAGTCAATTCCAAGAAACCTACAGACTGTCTATACGTTATGTTAGAGGAACATAGAAACCTTCCCATCTGGTTTGATAGAGAGCTCGAATGGGATAAGATAGGAATTCTTACTGATAAAATCCCAATTAGTTCCTTACCTTAATAAATTTTTTGTTGTTAGTGGAAGTTTGGAAATATTAAATTTTTGTTTCCTTTTATACTTGTTTGAGTCGTCTAAATAAGGTTTATCACCAGTATCCAATCGAGGTAACCTCAGAACTGACTTACCCGAGACTTCACTTAAGTTTAAATTAACATCAGGATCAATCTCCAGCTCTCCTGGTCTTTGAAATGTGAAATTATAGGGATGTATATTTTCTTTGTCCTCTAAAACTCATCAAAATTTGCACTTTCAAATAACCCCTACCTGAATTACTGTATGGGTTGTTTTTCTCAAAACTAGGGGCCATGATCTTATCTCTATAATTAAAGAACCTTCTGTGTGTCTTCTTTCTATAAGCTATATCCTAAGTCGTACTTATTCATATTGATTTCTTAATCCAAATTAATTTTAAATTTTCAAAATTATTTAGCAACTGTGGGGTTTTGGGGTTTTGGGGTTTTGGGGTTTTGGGGTTTTGGGG